CTGACAAGCATTAATTATTTAAGATCGAACCTTCGCTCGTTCGCAGGAACAACTATCGCGATCGTTAGTCTTTAAGTCATTTAAGGTGCACGGACGCATGCGGCAGAGTGCGCCTTTTAAAACTCGACCACACGCGAAAGATTAAAGCGCCTCTTATTGCTCGTTATTTCATTAATTCGCTTGAACAAATACGTCCACTACTTTGTTTCACCACGGGGCCGCATTGCGCTAAGCCGCGCACAATGTAGTAATAATAAGAAGGAACTGCGTGATTCGTGTTCGCGAGACTTTCAACTTGGGCCGGTCATTACGTCTTGGCCAAGAAGACTTATCGCTAATACCGATCGTATCATCCCGGGAAGGGGAAAAATCAACCGAAGCAAGATAGAGATAGATAGATTGGTAGGCAGATAGAGAGAGAGAGAGAGAGAGAGAGAGAGAGACTGGGAGAGACTGCAAGTAGAGGTATAATTTTGTTAACGCGTTTTTTTTTTTGCGGATTAGCTTGACCTCGTATAATGGCTTATATTATATAAGAAATAATCCAACGATTTTTTCTTTCAAAATCCCTAGTCGTATTCTTCCGAAAAATACAACGGATCTGGAGGTTTAGGGGCTAAATTTTGAAAAAATTGACTTTACCCAACGGACGTTTCGTACGCAACTAATGAAATATCGAATGCTTATATACAATGAAGAAAGAAGAGTAGTGAGCGTTTTGGGCAAGGTCAGTGCCGCTGCATTGACCAGCATTGTTTTTTTTTTTTTTTATGCAAGCGGACAATGACAGACATAATTTCGAATGACACATCGATTATTTGTTTACATGGACGAATTGCATTTATCATTCAATGCCGTGCAAGAATCATTCTCAATAAGTTTTTGGATAATCGCTGCGAATCTCGAACATTGGATACAACCGACTGTTGCTGGGTACTCAATATTTCTTAGACGGAATAAACAAATTTAATAAGCATTTTACGATTTTTAACGCGAATTTCATTTAACGTCGTGTTACCCTTTTTCTTTATGTAATAAGATTTTTTTCAACTTCAACTCCGATATCCCATCTCCCTCAATTACAAAGCTAATCTTTATCGGCAAAAATACTAAAAAACCAAAAGCATCCCACTGTAAAATGTTAAAAGCTACACGTGCCCGGGAAAAAGGGAGCAACGCAAGAAAGAAATTAAATTGTATTTTCAAGCGGGAGAAAGGAAGAGAGCGCGGGGTGGGGTTGGGCTGAGCGGGGCGGGAGGAGGCAGATAAGGCGAGCTTATCATAAGAAACAAAGAGGGCGAGAGAGAAACTACATCGTCGGAGCACCGCTTGATTAATGGATCATCGAGAAAGAGAGAGAAGGATAAAACAGCGCCGATTGGCCCTTCGTGTAGCTCTCAGCCGATCGATTCCATTCCCTCGGCTCATTTTTTCTTCTTCTTCTTCTTCTTCTTCTTCTTCTTCTTCTTCTTCTTCCTCCTCCTCCTCCTCCTCCTCCTCCCACTCCTCCTTCTCCTCCTCCGTCACCCCCTTCTCAGCGCTCGTACACTTTCCTCCCCTTTTACCGTATGTTTTTTCTTTTTCTTTTCTTTTTTCAATTTGTACACGTCGCAACAGTGCCGCTCTGGAATTTTCGCTTTCTCTTTATTTTCATTGGTTAATGGGGTATTTTTCTAATTTTAGTCGTACTATTTTCTTTGTTCGCCATACCAAATGGATATAATTAATGAAAGACTCGAAGTTTCCGAATGAGAAAAACATTTTTAAGCCCCACGAATGTAGCTGCGTATAGGTAGATGTTATTTTGAAATAAAGTAACGATTGCCCGAACAACTCTTGTATCGTCTAATAGAAATGTCGGCCATTTCTTCATTCTTTTGTCGATTCTTGCATGGCTCGTATCTTCGCAATTTTCGTAATTCCCGAGAAAGTCTGATGCTTAAAAAAAAAAAAAAAGAAAGAAAAACATTTTCCCTAAGCAAATTTCATTTGCCAACAAGCAGATCATTATCCTCGCTCCTTACCCATGCAATTATTTATTCGCCGCAATTCGATGAAACGCCAGTGATAGGAGTGAGGGTGTCGACCGGGCGACAAGTAAGACGTCGTCCGGCACTATTTAATATTCATAAAATTAGAAAATTGCAGCCTCGTTCCGAATTGCGAGGTGCGCGAGCGCCAATCATGCGAGCCGAGCGTGTGGATCGCGATGTCGCGCATAGAGGGGCTTTTTAAGGGCAGGTGCGCGCCGTGACCGATCGCTAAAACCGTAAGGCCGCCGATAAACCACTCTAATCCCCACCCCCGACACCAGCCCCTCCCACGCCTTCGCCCTGGCCCTTGCTCCACCTCCTCATCCGACGCCGTCAGTTTGGGTTTTTCCTGGTCGACGAAGGTGCCGGCCAGGACGTGCGCTGCTCTCATTTTTCACGCGTCCGACAATCTCGGGCACTTTTGTTATAACTCGCGTGCGCGTAAAGAAACTCGGGGAATCGGGCGTTTAAAGCGATCGTACGAGGATAAAAATGCAGGACCCGGTTAATCTATTTTCAGCGGTAGGGCCAAATTACTCCCCATTAGCACGAAATCTTAAAGCGCTCCATCCCGCCTTTGTGCTCGAATACAATCGGTGCAGGGTGGGGGAAGTGAGACAGAGAGATAGATAGATAGAGAAAGAGCGAGGTAGGGGGGAGGGGGGAGGGGGGTAGAATGAGAGCGAGGAGGAGGGAAAGAAGAGAGGTAAAAAAGCCGCTCTCTGAAATTTCCAGCCCGTTCTTCTAAGATCTCTCTCTCTCTCTCTCTCTCTCTCTCTCCCACACACACACGCGCGCATTGACAGACACAGACACAAAATCTCTCTCGCCTCTCTTCTTTCTTCCCTCTTGCTCTCACTCTATCTCATTCTGGCTGGCTGGTCGAGCCGCGCAGTTCGACGCAAAGTAATTAAGTGCCGAGCGAGAGGGAGTGCGGGACAAGGACAGCGACTCGGCGGCAGATGGAGAGAAGGGTCGACGCGCCTGGTCGCGCATACGAGAGCGCCCGAGGAGTGGGGCACGAAGAAAAGAAGAGATAGAGATAGAGAGGTGTGCTTAGGGCGAGCGAGTGCGAGTGCGAGTGCGAGGCAGAGAGAGAGAGAGAGAGAGAGAGAGAGAGATAGTGAGCGAGCGAGTGAGCGAGTATTGAGGGAGAGAGATGGAGTGACGAGGGCGTTCCTCGACTGCCACTCCCCGGCGGGAGCGGGGCTCATTGGCCGTGCGGCCCCCCCGTTCCCGGGCGGAAAAAATTCGCGTTTCGGCGCCGCGTAGTTCTCGTCCTTTTTTTCTCCGCTCGATCGTCGCGTAGTTTTTGCGCGCAGCCAAGCGCCTCGGCCAATCGTCGGCCTCGTAACCACGATACGCCTACTCGTCGATTTTCCGAAGATTTTCGATCGAGGAATCGACTGGCCGATCAATGATCGGACCTCGTGAGCCACTTTCTTGTAGTTTTCGGTTAATGGCGGTCATTGCGATCGCTCTCTACGTGCAATGCGATGCGAGATCGATGCCGGCGAAGATCAATTGGATGCGGATCGTCATGTGCTAGATTGCAGTCCGGCATTTGTATGTCGAGCCGCCGTAGAGAATAGAGTCTCTTTTTCGATAATACTGATGTTGGAAAAATTCCCGTTTCATGCTGGCCGTGTAGGTAGATTTTATTATTCTGGCAAATAATTTGTTGTGTTGAGGCGAGTTGGCTTGCCTTGGCTTCCCTTGCACTTCGCCATCAAACGTGCAAATTTATTATTCTATTATTATTGAAATTGTCGAGCTCGTATTCCATGCTCTAAGAAGCTAATGTTAATTTATTTATTTTTCATGGATCTAAGAAGCTGAAATTATTATTAAAGGCTACCAGTAAAGGCTAATCCTTAATACCATTATCCTATTAAAGGAAAGACGATAATAGCCGTGCAACTTCATAATAAAATACTTGGTATTTGTCGAATCGTTTCACCTATAAAATTACATTCTAATCGACCGAGAGTTTTTTTTATCGATCGCTAAAGCGAGTTACTCGAAAACTTAAGGCTTTTTATTATTTGTCGTACATGCGCGATGCCTTGTATGTTTTAGAATTTTCGAGGAATTTCAATTAATCGAATAGTTTTCATTAAATTTATTAACATGTATATACATACATACATATATATATATATATATATATATATATACATATATATATTAAAAGCGGCTGCTAAGCTAAAAACTAAAGCTGTTGTTAATAAACGAGGTCTCTGCAAGTTTTTTGCCCCTCGATTTCGGTAAGAATTCGACGAGAGCCGTAGGTTAATAATCGGCTCCAGCCTACACAAAGTTCACTTTAATTATTTTTTTTTTGGTTTTGTTTTGTTTTGTTTTGTTTTTGTTAACGAAGCCTACCTCGTTTCGTAATTGATGATTAAATGTTCCAGATAAAGCCGCTTAATTGACTAAATGGCAAACATAATTTCAGATTCGAAAGTACTTGTACAACTCTCATCTGACATCCATTGTTCGAGCCAATGCATTCAAAAGCCATTACTCGTTTTCTAATTTCCATTATGTATCATCGGCAACTAATCAACATTAACATTATTAAATAATCTATTTTCTCCTCGTTGCCTGCGCCTGGGATTGCTGGCCCGGACTTCTTCTGCTTTAGTTTTGTATGGCGCGTCGCTCGATAAATCGACTGGTACTCTTTGTACTTGGATACCAGTCACTCTCTACATATGCAATAGCACAGCAATTATATTACGTTCAATCGAGAAACATTGTGTTCGCGATTATTCTCACTGTCTTTCAAATGCATTGTACTCTGCTGCGACAGAGTATGAACATTGGAATTGTAGGGTCTATGGCGATCATTATATTTTAACATTAATCGAATTAATTAGAATAAAATGCCAGAAGATGAGTTTAATCGTTAATCGTGCGGGCACTTGGCAATGCACTATTAAAGAATGAAAATGAAGCTCATACCTGTTTCCAAATCGACGGTGTAGGGGAGTCCTGCCCAAGGATCTTCCTTAGATGGCTCTTCCTTAATGTCCGGTGTTTTCTGTAATTTAAAACAGAAAGAAAAGCATATATTCGTCGGTCCAGCAGCGGATATCCTTTTGAAAAGTCAAGAATTTTCTCACTTAATCGTTGCGCTTTTGCCAACAACGGTAATGACACAAACACACAAACGCTCTCTCTCTCTCTCTCTCTCTCTCTCTCTCTCTCTCCCCCCGAGGTAATGAAAGGAAGTAAGAAAGGAGGTGGAGGGAGGCGATATAAGAATCGTTAACCTTTGAAAAATATTAAACAATGACAGTAGCACGTAAGTCAGGTACGTCGTGGTGAATGGTGAATGCATCGGGAAATGCGAGTACGAGTGATGGGATAATAAAGAGGAGGCGAAGAAAAAGGGAGTTACAAAATTTTCGCGTGCTTCGGCCCGATGACATGCGACTTGCATTGTTGCGCCATGGTTCGCATCCTATTCGAAAAATCCTCGAGAGCCATTCGAGGACACGTTGACTCTTCCTCTCTTTCGGCGAGCGGATTCCATTTCCATTTTCATTCATCCGCGCTTGTCTTCATTGTCGATGGTAATTTTCACATTTTTCATCCGTCCACGCTTCCACGATATCTAAATCTGGCGCATGGAAAACTTACCGAGTATACTTCTACTTGAAATAATATCTTTATAAGCCGTCGTCGGTCCTTCTTTATCCTAATTCCCAAAGTTTGTTCATCAATCTATGAAAAACGCCGTACTTGGGAAAAAGAAAATAATAATAAGAAGTAAATCAAATAAAGTTTACGGTTCTGATTCTCTTTTACGGTTTGGCTATATTAACCATAGCCTATATTTTCAATGAAAGAAAAAAAAGCCAAAATCCTTGACAAATTTTCGTAGGAAATTGTAATGAATCATTAGTGCGGTTTTATATATTCTCCTCTAGAAATAATTGCAATGTGAAATGTATTATCAGTGACGAAAAATATTTAATACCACCGCTTGTACTGTGATAACTGAATTTCGAATTATTTATGATTATTTATCGATTATTCATCGTTTAAGTAATTTAATGCGTAAAATGATTATTTTTTTTATGTATTTATTTATTATTATTATTTTTTTTTTTTAACAAGGCCATTTGGATAGGTAAGAAAATATTCCTTTAATAATTGTTCTTCATACGCAACAGCTGTGTAGTCGAGGGCACTTGGAATATGAGATTGAGAGAGAGATTGAGAGAGATTGAGAGATTGAGAGAGATTGAGAGAGAGAGAGAGATTGAGAGAGAGAGAGAGAGAGAGAGAGAGAGAGACGTCGTATGAAAACGTGCAGCAATAGCACAGAGTTCCAATTAGAGGCGTTGAAAAAAGATTAAAGGCTTCTCACCTGTTCTGCGCGTGTGTGCACGAAAGTCTCGAATCAGCTGTAATCGCCACGTTAAGGTGAAGGGAGAACATACGTAGATGCGGCATAGCACGCACGAAGAAATGACGAGGGAAATTAGAAATGAAAGGATGCTGTCGACGTAACGATTCCATTGTTGTCGCTCACACGGACGAGGGTTTCTATCATAATTTACGAGAGCCAAGGCTTACGAGGAGAGGAAGGAGACGTAAGGGCGAAAGTCAAATAATACTCAAATGGAATCTCGAATGAACGAAAGCTCGCCTCTTCTAGATAAATAAAATTCAAGTCAACACGTGTGAATTTTCATCCGAGGAGATGCTCGACGCTCACCTCCAGGCGGGGGAGGAACGAGCGCGAGTTTCGACTCGTCACTTTACTTATATCCATCAAACCTATCATCAACTCCATATTCCACTTGGACTTTAAAGATGTAGAAATGCATTTTTTTATTTTGCTGCTTACCGGCGCCCATGAAAAATGACTTAATCAAAATAGCTTAGCTCGGCGTTTATAAGCGCGAGATAAAATGTTATTACTATCAACGAAGAAATGCCTTTAGTACCAAAGTTGAATACTACCCGACGATCGAGTGTATGGCGAATGCGGCTTCATTAGAGTTAATCGTCTGAAATTTGTTGGACAATGGGGGTAGGGATTGGGGGGTGGGGGTGGGGGTGGAATAATAATAATAAAAAAAGAAGGGAAAAAAAATAGATTGATAAATTACTTAGCAGTCTTTAAATACAGATTCTCGAGTGAGTGGATCGGAAAATTTATATATTATTGGGGTGCTTAAGGTTGCTAGTTGGTTAAGCTCGATAGTGGAAGCGTCGGAAGTTATGAAAATGTCATTTAGCGCAACAAGCAAGATTAGATATGACAATTTTGCATTACAACGAAATTACGGAACAAAAAAATAAAAAACGGCTAGGATGGACATTAATAATCGTCTGGTAAATTCGATGCTAAAGTGTTGCCAAGTGAAATGTGGCACGAGAGTTTTGCTTGTTTCGAACTCTTGGGAAATGAAAGAATCCTGATGCGAGTAACAAAATCGCGTTTAAATGAAAAGAAGAAAAAAAAACACACGGACAATCATACCAAAGCCTTTGATTATCGTTGTTGTAACGATCGTGCGACTTTAATATACACCTATATACATCTGTGTATTGTGAGTGAGTGAGTGAGAGAGAGAGAGAGAGAGAGAGAGAGAGAGAGAGAGAGAGAGAGAGAGAGAGAGAAAGCTTTTTAAAATCTAGCCAAACATTTAAAATTGACAGAATTGTACTATTTGCAGAAGAAATCCGTTTTATCAATATTATGCAAGAAAAGAATCAAGATCCTATCGCCAAAGAACACCCGACGTCAATCAGGTTCCACGAACCGAATTTATATATATATATATATAAAGAAAAAAAAAAACAAAAACAAAAAAAAATACAAAAAACAAAAAAAAAACAAAAGAACTCAATACTTATAACCCTCGAACGAAATGGAATATTTCGCAAGTGGTGACGCCGCTCCACGCCACAGCCTCCCCCTTCGCACGTTTAACAAAGCCTCGGGTCGTTCGAGAGTGGAGCCGCTGCGGCCAAGGCTGCGCGATCTTCATAGAGACGTCATAATCAAAGCGATCCTTCTTCAAGCATCTCTCTGATCTTGGTCGGCTACGACGAGGCTCTAGAATAAGCATGCAACGGGCGAGGAAACGACCGACGTGGCTCTTGTGTGCGTGCGTACGCGGTTCTTCAAGCCAAGAAGGTGGAGGCTACGAAATAAGTCTGAGGAATAAGTCACCGGGTGAATCGAATGGGACGACGGACAGCTCCACCTCTTAGCCTTAGCCTCGCTCTTAGGATCAATTCGACGATTACGAGCGCGCGAGTCCCCTATTGATGCGCCTGATCCAACTATAATAACGTACACGCACCGTCGATCTCTAATATTTTCTATTAAATTTCTCTGCCGAGTTTCCCACATTACGAGCAAATACAATGAGAATGACACTTGGCCGGTAGTGCGCTCGTTATAAGTTAAACAATTGCAATATGCGAACAATAGCCAAGCCATGGAATCGATTTTTTTTCTCTCCTACGTTAGAAGAACGGAGGCTGCCACGCGCAACCGGACGCACACAATTTTTATGTTAATTGATGGATGTGGAGCTTGGCTTTTAGCATCGGAATAAAAATAGCTACGGTGTCAGATAGATAGCTGGGAGATGTTAGGGCGTCGGCATTAGTGAGATCTCGCGGCGGTGCATTGCGTACGCTAATAGCCAGTAAATCGATGGAGGAGCAATGGAAAGAGACGAAATACATTTTCTGATTGGAGCACTCGATATTGACTGAGCCGCATATGGGGCTCCGGTGCAAGGGTATGCGTGTACAAGAGCCAAGGGCGGAGACGTTCGTTACGGACGAGTGCGCGCGCGGGCAGAGACGGAGTGAGGGAATCGTTGTCCAATGGACGGGGGGTATAAATTCCACATGGATATTCGTTAGCGTGCACTAATACAGAGTACATAAATGTACGCGGGCGACGTTGAAATGAGTGTAATGAAAACAGCATTGTGCGCCGATCATTAATCACCGCGAGCGCGGCCCTGATAGTGGCCATCCGAGCATTCGCTCCGTCTCTCTCCCCCATCCGTCGACGTCGTAACATCCGAGCCCTTTATGCCAGCGTCTCTTTCGCTCTGTGCATGATGTATCGTCGTTGACGAGTACGTCGAGGCCGCGGTGGGGGGGCCCCGCGCTTTTAGACGTATGAATACGAAAAACGAGGCTTCCTTCCATTACGAGAGAGTGGCTGAGGTGAAGAGGGAGGAGGAGGAGGAGGAGGAGGACGATGAAATTGTTGGGATCGATGGGGCGTTGGATTTTGGGACGATCGGCACGGGCGACGCGCGTGGGAAGTCGCCGCTTAGAACGCGCGCGGTCGGGATCGGACCTCGTGGAGGTGGAGAGCGGACGTGGATGACTGAGGAGAAATCGTATGTACGCGCGAGTTTTTTATTTTTTGAATTACACAAAATGTCAAGGAAGCAGGGGCTTGTTATTAGTCGGAAAAAAAAACTTTGGAGATATACTTACGTTCGGGTTTTTTTTTTTTTTTTTTTTTTTTTTTTTGTAACGGAGGCGAACGTACAGTTCCCCTAAAATCCGTTTTCACGGTCGATTACAAAAACGTTACTCGAAACGATGATGTCATAAGAAGTTGTCGATCAACAATCATTATTGTAATTAACCATAAACTATTTACAATGTAATATGTAATTTAATGTTTTAGCACTCAATGATTATAATTATATATAAAAAATATGGACTTTTAAGGACTGGCTTTTCTTAAACCCGTAACGTACCTGTTGGCTAAATTCCTATTCTGCATATGATATTTCGTTACATTGAGTTGCAAAAATCATACATATTTAACAATGCCAAATTCACTCTTAAGTTTCTCTAAAATATTCCAACTTTTAATATTTTATCATTTTCATTATATTTATAACTTTGCCCTTTAATTACTTTATTTCCATTCTATAAGTTCAATAATTAAATTAAAATGTTGAAAGTTTTTTTTTTAAAAAGTAGTATATTATTTTTGTGTGTGTGTGTGTGTGTGTGTGTATGCGTGTATGTATG